GCAAACTATATATATACATTCCAACAAGACGTGGCGGGCGAGAATTAGAGGGTGCCTTGGGCCGGCCTGACACGGAACGAGGGACCTTAAGGAGCACACGGCCCTCAGCGAGGACCCTGCCGTGACAGCCTGGAATGCTCCCACTAAAATGTTACAGAAGATAACATGCGAATTTGATGAGGGAAGACTCAGTTTAACTTCTGTCCAGTTGTATCAATGTCTCCAAACAAGACACAGTTATTCTACTCTGGAAATCATTCCTTAGACATGCAATAGGAACATTGAAGCAACTATTGACATGCTTTTTATTTTGCTTGTTCCTTAGACAAACAGTACATAAGCCAGGCTCTCTCCCCCTATTCTCACCCTTTTATGCCTTTTAGTACACAAGGGGTGCTTCTACACATTGCCGTATGGCAACATTGCTATGGCAGCATGCTTTAGTACTTCCTTTTTGAAGTACTAAAGCATGGCGCAGTATGGGTGGTTACTGCATTGTGTGTGCAGCTCATGGTTAGATTTTGCTGCTACATCACCACAGCGGCGCACTATAACAGGGGAGCGCACCACTACAACGATGTATCTGGCAATCATATGTAGACCCACATGATAGCTACATCGCCATAGCACAGCATATGGCCATGTAGCATATTGCTACGTCATTATAGGGTGACGCGTAGGTGTGCCCAAAAGGGATGGAATCTGGTTACTCCTGCCCAACTGAAAATTACACTAGGGTACAGCAGCTCTCAGATGGCATAAAGTTGCCGGAGCCTGATATTATCCCAACAACTCCATACCCTAGAACAGAGAAGAAGCTCTACTCTGCCAATTCTCAGTTGGTGCATAGTACTTTAAAAGCCATAGCCAACTGATAAAAATTAGAAGATGGTTACCACTAGGACCAAGGAGTCTCCAGTGTAAGAACTGTGCGCATCTTACCTGACTGTACATTGGTGCCCAGTGATAAGTGAGTTTCAGCTCAGAAAAGAACCTAGTCACATATTTTCTAAACCGACTACAAATGCTTTTTCAAAATTGTTCTTGACTGTAATTGCAGCTAAGATGTGTTGCCCTCATCCACTTGTGTAGGATTTGGCACTTCCTGCCTTCACTAATCACGCTGTGGGCATTCTTTGGAGTCAAGCTCCATGTGAAAGCACCTTGGTCTCACATTTTGTGATGCCATTATTTTTTTTCAAAAATTTCAAACTCAGTTCTGAAGCATGAAAAAGTAAAGGAAACCATTGTGCTAGAATACCATACCAATAAAACCACTCCAACAGTTAGCACTTATCAGTACTCTTTCTGGCAGGTTGAGCAGAGGCTAAGGACTGAAAAGACGTATAGACTAACTGACAGAACGAGGAACAATGGTGTCAAGTTGCAGCAAGAGAAGTTTAGGTTGGATATTAGGAAAAACTTTCTCAGTAGGAGGGTGGTGAAGCACTGGAACAGGTTGCCTGGAGAGGTGGTGGAATCTCCATCCTTAGAGGTTTTTAATTCCTGGCTCAACAGAGCCCTGTCTGGAACGATCTACTTAGAGATGGTCCTGCTTTGAGCAGGGCATTGGAGTAGATGACCTCCTGAAGTCCCTTCCAACCCAATTTTCTATGATTCACCTGTTCACTCCTAGAGATAGTAGAGGACCCTCAGGTGGTTTGAGTATAGATTCATGAACATCAGTGATGCTGTGCCAGCTGACAGCACCTGGTAGTTGCAGGTCAGGTCTGAGGGATGGCCCTGTTAGGACTGTATTAAGAAAAAGTTGCTGTCACTGCTAGTCCTGTATCCTATCTGTAGTCAAAAATATAGATTTTATCTCCCATAATGCTCCATCACCTATTGAAAGTAATACATCAGCTTCAACATTTTAAAATAAAAAGAGCGGGAGGGGAGCACAGTTAAATTCATAGGAAATATACAATTGCCTTGAACACAAGCTCTTTATTCAAAATATACAGCATGTGTAAGAGTATGAAAGTACATCTAAACTAGGCTACAAGAAATAAATCAGTATATTTTATTATATGTATCATGCTACAGCCATGCATGATGCCTTACAGATTAAATGAAAAGGCAAAGCACTGAATGTCTCTTGTATCGTGTACAGTGTCCTTTGGGTCCTAGAGAAGATGATGGTGCTTACCCCAGGTTGCCTCAGGCTTTAGGTCACATAAATAATGTATGTTCATGCTGCAGAAAATGTTGACATGCGATAGTCATAAGTGTTGCTGATCTTGATTGATTTATTTAAATATTTTTTAGTTTTGCAGTTGCCTGTTACAGGAAAAGTGGAGTAGTGCGCTGTGTCTGTAAAGAAAACTATGCAGGATCCAACTGCGAAAGGTAAGCAGGGCAGCAGTCTGACTCACTGCTCAAGCTTGCCAAAGTTTCAGGGGCCTTCAGGGAGTTTTCCCATACTGGAGAAAATTCTTTGCTTGACACTCCCTGGGCTGGATTATGCCTGTGCGTCTACAGGGCTTAAGCCTGTGCCCATTAAAACCAATACAAATATGTTATTGATTTCAACAGGGGAAGGATAACGATCCACATTTTGTATATTTTATCCACTTATTGCATTTGACTTCATAAAACCAGCCTTTTCAAAGGAAAATAATTTTTGAATGCTGAAAACAAATGATAGCTAAAGTGAAAAATTAGCGTCTGTATTGTATGCCTCTAACAATCCCTTTGCCCGCCTCAAAATGACAGCTTTCTGTTAATTTACACTTGAACTGAGTACTTGCTCACACCATTAGCAAAATTATGTTGTTTAAATTCTGAATGATGTTTCAATAAAAATCCTTGAGTCAGCAATCCTTTTCAAGTTTTCCAGATGTCCACTAATAGTTTCTTCTACTACTTATTAAGAGTGATGATGTCTGCAAATACAGCTTTATGGCATAATACATGTTACTGCTTTATCTTGCAAAGGACCAGTTTCTGACACCCTCACTAATGCTGTATGAAATTTCATTGAAATCAATGGGCCTAGTTCTAAGTTAGACCTTGTTACACTCCCACTGGCGTAAAATTTAATGAGGGTGGTGGTATATGTTAGATCTGCTATAACTGCTACCAGGCTGAGGTGTCAGTACAGGATATGGATGCCTCATCTGATTCCCCAGTGTCCTGCCAGGCCTTTGTACCAGACAAGATCTCTGATGTATTAAAAATTTAACCCATTATCTTTAGTAAGAGATTTTGTGTAGAACTGAAGTGAAACTTGACTGAGAGAGGGAAAAAAGGGATGTGACAGATCCAGATTACAGTTGGTATAAAAAAAGCCAAGAAAAAGAAGAGCAAAGGACTTCATCCCTTACCGAGTAAGAGTTACCATAGCTTCCAACTAAAATAATTTGCTTGTAAATATAAGGCACTCAAAATGTCAGTGTGCTACCTTTGGACCTTTGAAATGGCCACAGTAACAATTTTACAAGTAAAGCTTCTACAGATGTAGAAAATGAAGATGGAGAAACTTGTTTCCAGTCATCAGGATATATCCTGCTTTTCTTTTGAAATGTCAGATATGCAAACATAGCAAAATATAGACAATTAAAAGGTCAGTGAGGTTTCTCATTGGTACTGAAATGTCACACTAGACTACAAACAAATGAAGGACTGTGAAATGAAAAGCAGACATATTTCTGTTCATAGGGACAGAAATGAATAATGTCAGCTTGTTTGATCTGTTTTCTAATAGCTACTGACCAGCTTTTCATGGTTTATTTATATCAGAAGAAAAGATAGGGTTAGACAGGGGTGAAAAAAGACAGCAGGAAGCAATCAGCTTACGTCACTAGGAACCTAGGATGACTAGTTGGTTAAGTGGTTAGTAATGTCAGGGAGTTTGTTTTTGTTTTTTCTTCTAGGTTACAAATTCCAGTCCAACTTGTTTTCAGAAGTGAGAAAAAGTTGTAACATCTGATGGCTATTTAGTGCCTACGTAAAACGAGGTGGTGGTTATTGCCTGTTTCCTAGAAGACAAGTATCAGCATTACAGACATTCCCTTTGGGTACTTCCTAGCATTCCTCATCCATAGTCTTAGTTATCACTAGTTGACTGATGATTCAGTTGCATAAATACTGAATTTCTCTCTCTTCTAGGGGATCATTTATGTTAGTGAGAGGGTACATTGCCTGGACAGCATTGATCTGTCTACTCTCCACCACCTGTATTGACACAGAAGACTGATAAGGGGCAGGACTGCTAAGCTGGCCTTTTCCCCTGAACATTAGATTAACCACACACAAACATTTTTGAGCCTACATTCTCATCAGATCACAAGCGATTGTTGATTTAAATCTATGCCATGCTTGGGCCATACATGATTTCCAGTGGGAAACTGCGCAAAACAGTTTCTCTACTTCTCCTAAATGGCTCAAAGAAGAAGCAGACAGTTATAAAACCTGGAGTATGAAATGCAGAGTTACTGCTCTCTACCTATTTCCTTGATCCCAGGAGGCTGCCCAACAAGAGGGCTGAGGTGGAGATATGCTGTATTCTGCCTTTTCCCATCTGTACAACTTCATAGGACTATGACTGGCATATCAGGACAGTAAGTTGTAGGACACACAACACTGTAGGTGTTTCAGCATGTGTGATCTTCCAGACACTCTCTTCATCTGCCATCTGCACAGGATGTTTTCTTACTCTGTGTGAAGGGCTGGTTCAGAACTACCTGAATTAGTATACAGTGGGTGTGTCTACAAATGCATTTGATCCAGGAACAGTAAATTCTCCTGGGCAGGTGTCTACACATGCAAAGACTTGGGAGCAGATTTGCTGCTCGTGTCAGCAATCTGCTCCTACCCCTGCCAGCCCTGCACAGGCCCCCTTCAGCAGCCAGGTGGAGCTCTAGGCTCCCCCTGGGTGCTAGCCCAAGGACTGGCAGGGAGCATGGGACAAGGATACAGCTGTCTCCTGGCAGGGGATGGGACATTGCTCCCTGCCCCCAGGACGGCTGCCTGCTGCCAAGGTAGGCTCCACCACTGAAGCCCAGGTGGGGACAATGTTCCCCCGCCCCAGCATCAGGGAACTCCTGGCCCTGGCTCCCAGGTTGGAAGCAGGGGGCTTGGAAAAAGCTGCAGGGGAAGGGCAGGTCCCAGCCCCCTGTCCCAATCCGCTAGTGGGGCAGCT